TGAGATCAAAAAGAAAAATATATGTACTTTGTGGTCACCAAGGACACTGGTGGTGTTTAAAAGCCATGTGAATGTGGCACTTGGGGACATGGGGCAGTGGTGGGCTGGGCAGCACTGGGGAGAGGGCTGGACTCAAACTCAGATGTCCTTTTCAACCAAAACAATTCTGTGATTTTATATCCAGTAAAGCTGTGCTGTGCAGCAAGTGCCCCTCGCATCCTGCGTGAAAGATTTTGAAACAATTGTATGAAAATGTACAGGATCTAAACCAGAAAACATACTTCTACATGAAATTCTTGAAAACTCATTTATTCAATGGATTTGAGAAGAGTGAATTGACCAAAAACCCAAAAATATGAAAAGGGAGAAAGAAAGTTTGCTTACACAGTACTCTACAAGATACCAGAATTAAAAAAAAAAAAAGTTATTAGAAACTTAACTATCATTACATGGGCACCCTTACAAAGGAGGTTGGAGCCCGGCTCAAGGTGCAATAAATTCCTATTTGCATTGTCAAAGCAATGGCAAAGAGGGAAGAAAAACCTGGGAGGAAAGAAGACAATCTCAATACCTAGGGTATGAGATGAGTTTAGACTGATGGTGTGATACAAAGAAAGAGATGGAAGCCTGAAAAAAAGTGGCACGGATAGAAACAAACTGATGACATCAGCAGAGGAAAGTCAGATCGTGTTATATGACAGCAAGAAGGGGTAAGGATTGGATTTCTCACAATTCAAATCACTACTGAGCTTCTAAAGGTGAATTTTCATTTATCTGGGTACCTAGAAATATTCTGTATGTGCTGAGTAAAGAACTACTTGAGGACCAAAGCACCTCTCCTCAGAATTTATCTGAAGTTTGGAAATTCAGATGTTCTGAATTTTTTCTGCTCACTCTCCTAGTTCAGAAGTGCTGCAAACAAACTGAACAAACCACTATCTGGTAATGGAAAAAAACAGTTCCACGGTTCAAAAAATCTGAGGATGAATGTTCTCAAACAATTCAGCGATACTCTATGCTGCTTTTTCTCACTCTTCCTATATACATGCCAAATGTACTATTGTTCTCTATTTTAAAGATTTAAGTATAAAGCCCTAAACATCAAAACCTTGCTACACTAAAAATACTCCTTTCAAACAAACGGATTTTACAATGAGACAATCATATTGGAAAAAAGCTCTAGAAAGATTTTATATTCAAAACCTGACATCTAAAAGTTAAAACAATTGAAGTTGGAAGGGAGACGACCCACCTTGCGTTGGTCAGCCATCGACTACGATTTATTAATCAATCAGGCACTTTTTATAACCGTGTTAATTAAGTTCATGCATATTGCAAAATCTGAGCTCACAATAGGCCAGAGATTACGCACCAACCCCTCCTTATGTTTCCAATTCCAAGATTTGGGTTCTCAAAATTATTCTTGCTTTCCCAAAACAGCCAAANGAGGTTGAAAATGGTCCTGTTTCAACATTTTATAGAATTACAGAAGTGTTTGGGTTGGAAAAGCCCACAGAGATGGAGTCCAACCATTCCTCCAGTACTGCCAAGGCTACCACTGACCCAAGTCCCCAGGTGCCACATCCACACAGCTTCTAAATCCCTACAAGGATGGGGACTCAGCACTGCCCTGGTCAGCTGTGCCAGGGCTGGATAACCCTTTCCATGGAGGAATTTTCCCTGATATCACAATTTAAACCTCCCCATGCCCAGCCTGAGGCCGTTCCCTCTGCTCCTGTCCCTGTTCCCCCCCGCTGTCCCCTCCTGTCAGGAGCTGTGCAGAGCCACAAGGGCCCCCCTGAGCCTCCTTTGCTCCAGGCTCAGCCCCTTCCCAGCTCCCTCAGCCTCTCCTGGGGCTCCAGCCCCTTCCCAGCTCCGTTCCC